AGATATGGACCTGCAGGAAGAACGACACAGGAAGAAAACGACAGTATCAGAGTTCGCATTCCACACTCAACGACGACACAGCAATTATAACAACCGACAGCAGCAACCGAAGATAGTACCTCCCTTCTGCCACATCTGCAAGACTTCAGGGCACCCGCGCACACACTGCCCGAATCGTCAGCAATCAACGGCACCACAGCGACAACTTCGACCTTCAAGCTCCCAAATGGCTTCAACACAAGCAAGTGCGACGACCACTATTCAAGCTTCAACGACTTCACCCGGACAACCTGCACAAGGAGCAAGAAATATAATCAACTGCATGACGAAGATAACCGATTCATGTACAACCGAATCACCACCACACTACTCACCGGAAGAAGAGCTTGACAACAGAACGCCTCGCCGTGAGCTACTCCAGCCGAATCCAACGTACGCCGCCATCGCTCAAAGTGAACCGTCCGGCCAAGACACCTGGTTCTTGGACAGTTGCTGCGGGCAACACATGTGCTCGTCCGGGCGTTTCGTACAACGCGAACATCGACTCCAACGGGAAGTGATCATCACGGTTGCCAACAACCAAAACCTGCGCACACGAAGACAAGGAGTGGTACAGCTTCAGTCAAGAGAAACAAATGTCATACTGCACATGTCTAAGGTACTCATCGCTGAAGGACTCGGCTACAACTTACTGAGCGTTAGCCAGTTGATGGCGAAAGGAATTCATCTGGAAGCCGACAGCACGACCCAGGAGTTCAAACTTTACCACGGGAGAGGCGGTCTCTACATCGGGAAAGCAGTGCTGAAGAACAACGTCTTCGTCCTCGACTTCGTTCCTGACCTGGGCACTGCAGACAGCGACGCCATCGTGAACTTCACTGACTGGACACACCCTCCGGATCTCGACCCCGACTTCAGCCCAGGAGGCTTCTGGTACTCGCACACCATTCCTGAAGCAGAACGAACACGAGCATTAGCAACAATTCGACAATCGGCAGCAGTAACAACATCGGCAGCAGCAACAACATCAGCAGCAGTAACAACATCGGCAGCAGCAACAACATCAGCAGCAGTAACAACATCGGCAGCAGCAACAACATCAGCAGCAGCAGGAACAACGACACCAGTCACAGTCGACGAAGCACCACCAACACCCGCGAAACAGCTGAATCCGACTCAACGTGAAGTCCACCGAAGCGCCAACCTCGTCGCCAGCTTTTACTCCAACTCCGACGCATATCAGCGTTCACCTGGACACCGTGCCTCTGAAGAGATCTGGCACGCACGAACAGGACATCCAAGTAACACGGTTTTGAATAACACGATAAGAGCAGGAGTCCTTGACAAAGATTCTCTACTTCTACCCGATGGCAGAGAACTCCAGAAGGCACGAGGGACTTGCCTTATATGTCCCGAAGCTGACTTACCTCATCGACCGTTTGCTTCACATCACAACCCGAGCGCTCCAGCGTACGCACCACTCGAAAAAGTCTACAGCGACATCCTCTACAATCGCGAGCCAGGACAAGTCAACTACAACTACACCATCACCTTCATCGACGCCGCCACTCGATACGTCTGGCATCGCAACCTACCCAGCCGCGACATGGCGCTCACAGCATTCGCCGCCTGGCTACCGATAGCAGAGAGAGAGTCTGGAACACAACTGAAAAAATTCCAGTCAGACGGAGGTGGCGAGTACACCTCTCACCGCTTCAAGCAGTTCTTGGCGGAAAGGGGGATCAAGCAACTCCTCTCCCTTCCTTACGCACATCAGCAGCAAGGTGTTGCAGAACGACTGAACAGGACCCTGCAGAACAGCATGCGCAAACTATTACGTGGCATGCAGCCACCCAACCACCAGTGGCCAGCAGCAATGGACCACGCTGTCATGCTACACAACTTGTTGTCGTCGTCGTCACTCCCGAACAACGCATCACCGCATCTGCTGTGGACAGGGAAGCAGGGCAGCACGAAAATGTTACGAGTTTTCGGGTGCATGGTACAGTACAGACCCCCAGAAGCACGAGCGGGAAGATTTTCGCAACGGGCACAGTGGGGACTACACCTCGGCATCGAGAAAAATTACAACGCATGGAAAATCTTCGACGTCCACACAAAGGAAACAGTAGCAGCACGTGACGTGATCTTCTACGAAAGACTCACCCTTCAGACGTACCTCGCCAACTTGCACGAGAATCGGGACCTCACCAGTGGTTTTCGTGGTGACCGAGCCTTCGCGTCAGCAGCGGACGAAGCAGACTGGGATGAACAGAACGTCGACAACGCCTCAGAAGAAGCCGGACCTCTCCCATACTGCTCCGTCGACGTGCCCATGGATGAGGATAATCCTCGCGACAGTAACAACGCCGAAATCTTCTACCGTTTCGCCGACGATGGTTACGTAACACCTGTGACAGTCAACACCAACGAAGCAGAAAGGGTAGGGCCAAATTTCATGCCCGACCCAGAAAAGGGAGACGAAGCAGCTTATCCCGAGGATCCAGAACTCCCTCGATACTCACAGACTGGGCTGCAAATCCTCGGCCTCGTCACCGCAGTCCACGGGAACACACGCAGCTCGCTTCCTAAGGAGCCTGCAACGGTTCAGCAGGCTCTGGGGGGGGAACACAGGGAGAAATGGCGTGAAGCCATGGATAGAGAACTGAAGGCATTAGAGGAACGCAACACTTGGAAGGTTGTTCCCGTAAGCGTGGCACGGAACAAAACCATCCTTACCGGGAAATGGGTCTTCCGCATCAAGACGAAAGCAGACGGCACGATCGAAAAATTCAAAGCACGCTGGGTCGTACGTGGATTCGACCAAGAGCAAGGACGAGACTTCACCGAGACCTTTGCTCCAGTCAGCCGCCACACGTCACTCCGAATTCTCCTCGCCATTGCCGCCATGAAGAAGAAGAAGTTACGGCAGATCGACGTCGCGAATGCCTTCCTCTACGCACCTGTGGATGCAGAAATCTACGTCGAGCTCCCGCACGGTTCCCACGGCGAACCCAACCGAATCTGTCAACTACTTAAGTCGCTCTACGGGATCAAGCAGGCACCGCGACTGTGGCAGCAGTACCTGCACGCCCGTCTCATCCGCATCGGCTTTAGTCAACTACCTCACGACCAAGGCATGTACCGCCTCACTAAGGGAAGCGACTACGTTCTCCTGATCGTCTACGTGGACGATCTCCTCTACATTGGGTCAACCGACGGCATCGCCACGTGGTTCGAAGGAGAGCTCCAGAAAGACCTCACGCTCACGGTCTCCTCCACCGTTACACAGTACCTCGGGCTCAACATCCGCGAAGAAGAAAACGCCATCTATCTAAGCGCCGAGAAATACGCCGACACCATCGCGAAACGCTTCAGCCTCACACCAAGCGCCATCTCCACGCCCTACCGCTACACATCAGGAACCGAGAAGGAACGAACTACTCTACTCAAGCCCGCCGGCATACGCGACTATCAGAAGAAGCTCGGATGCCTGCTATTCGCCGCCGTCACCTGCCGTCCTGACTTATCCTACTCCGCAAGTCAGCTCGCCACCTATCTCAAGAAGCCTGAAGCTGAACACCTGGCGGAACTTGATCGCGCTCTCCACTACTTCGTCAGCACCGCGACGATCGGGCTAACCTACCACAAGAGCGCAGCTACACCGACTAAGCTAATCGGCTACGTCGACGCCGATCACGCCGGCGACACCGACAACAGGCGCTCACGCACCGGCTATGTCTACCGCCTTGAGCCTATCGGTCCTATCTCCTGGCAGTCGAGCAAGCAGGAGTTAATCGCACTATCTTCAGCAGAAGCAGAATATATTGCACTCTGCTCAGCCACCAAGGAGGGACTTTACCTTCGCGAACTACTGGAAGAAGCGAAGCTAGCCGAGTTACCCAGCTTCACCGTGTTCTGCGACAACCAGTCAGCGATTCGCATCGCCAACAAAAACGGCTTCGCAAACAGGACGAAACACATCGCCCTGCGCTATTTCTTCGTGAAGGACGAGATAGAAAAAGGGAAACTCGATCTGTCATACTGTCCAACATCCGAGATGGCAGCCGATTACTTGACCAAGAAACTCGGCAAGCAGAAGTTCGAATACTGCATGATGCTGACTGGACAAGGCCACGTCACCAGCAGTAACACTCCAGAAGCGAAGGGGAGTGTTGGAAACAATAAGTCCTAAGTGCGCTTCTGTCGTATCAAAATCCAAGGTACCAAGCGAAGCAGTCCCAATCGAAGCATCGAGTCAACCTCGGAGGTTAGGGTAACCGCCTGGAGGTTACGAGAAAGTCAAAGGTCGCTGACCTTTGACTCGACAATTACAGCGCGACAGTTAAGGACACACAACTGACTCGTTACAGAGCAGTTGCCCGAGTCGCGCTATATCGAACCGCAACAGCAATACAGTTATCTATCTATTCCTTGTACTCTTATATAAATCCTTGTATTTGCTTGTTTAATTCAATCAACTTTGCTCTCACACACCAGTGCAAGGTCGGTTCAAATTCTTCACTAAACGCTTCCGCTGTTACAACTACTTCACCTAGAGTTATCCCTTGCAAAGATCCTAAGGGGCTATCTCAGCCCAACACCAACAAGTGATTAGATCTGGTGACTACACAGAATCTTCCGTATAAATTGCTTGCAACTTGCAACAAGCTCCGCAACGCAGCCATTGATCTATGGAACCACCCAAGAAACGCCACACACCATGACAACTCCTACCTAATGTCATTCCCTTCCTCCTCACAGACACATGTGTCCTAGAAAACCATAGGAGAACGTATGTGCTAAGGCAGTGGTAGGCGCATGTTTTGAGCATCTCCTATTCCGACAGCATGTTTCTAACATCTCGTGCACAGCAGCAGTTGCGGCTCCTCCCCTCTCCTGCTCCCACCTCGCAACTCCCGTCCTCTTACGTCTGTCCATCTGTCAATCACGTGTCAAGTTGCACATCTGCCCTTCAACGCCCCCTTCTCTCCCCGCTGCTACTTCCCCCCGCGGGTCATGTTGGCCATCTGGCCGCGCACAGCCCCCTGGGGGAACGCGGAGGTGGCGATGAGAGCGTGGAAGGAGGCGGGGGCAGCGAGAATGGTGCTCACAGCCGCAGCCACAGAGCCGCCCGGAGCGGCGGAGAGGGACGACGCGTTGCCCCACACGCCCCTGGCGCCGTAGCTGAAGCGCGCAGCCGCAGGGGGGGCAGCAGCGGTGGCGTTGGAGGCGCGATGGAAGGGGCGGGTGGTGTTGGTCCAGGCGGAGGCGGGGAAGGCGAGGAGGAGGAGGGCAGAGGGGGAGGCGGCGGAGCCTGTGTGGATGGAGGCGGCGGTGGGAGGGGAGGGGGAGGAGAGGTGCGCGAGAGAGAGCGAGTAGTGCACGTCCATGCCAGTGGCCGTCCTGGGGAGGAAGGGGAGGGGGAAGGGGGGTGAGGAGAGAAGAGAGAGGGTCAACACAGGAGGGTCAGCACAGGAGGAAGGGGAGGGCAAGGCGGAGAAGGAGTTGGTGTGAGGAGAGGAGGAAGGGCCAAACCAGGAGGGCTGAGATGGAGTGTGGACAGCAGAGGAAGGCGTTGCAAGAGCAGAGAGAGGAGGGCTCAAAAGCAAGTGAAAGGAGAAGCAGAGCCATGGCGGTGCAAAAGAGAAAGAGGAGAGAAGGAGCGTGGAGCGGCACTGACTTGACAAGCTTCAGCTCCAGGCGGCCCGTGGCATTGGCCATGCCTGCTGACCCCACCATCTGCTCGCCACTCATCCGCGCGCCCACCACACCTGCCATGGGCAAGCAAGCAAGCAAGGCGTCAAGTCCACCGACTTGCGACACACTGCAGCAATGAATGAACATAACAGAGTCACTGGAAACGCGCCCGCTTCGTCAGCCACAAGTGACCAATAAGACGTCAGCAGCAGTGGTGCAACGATGCGATTCCACTCACCAATCACGCTGCCTCCTCGCCCGCCACGCCCACCACCAGCACCGCCGCCCTCCTTGCGCATCCCACCACCACCAACACCACCACCAGCTGCAGCACCCCGCTTCGGCCTCGTGCCATTCACGTGCCTCGTGCCATTTACGTGCCTCGTGCCATTCACATGCCTCGTGCCATTCACATGCCTCGTGCCATTCACGTGCCTCGTGCCATTCACGTGCCTCGTGCCATTCACGTGCCCCTTCCCTCCCGCCACACGAGTTCCGTTCGCCGCCACGTGACCATCAAACGACTTGTGCTGCTTCACGCCCATCGTCTGCTGCTGCCCCTGTCGCTTGCTGCCAGCCGCCTGCACTGCCGCCTGCTGCGAGCGGGCAGGTTTCTTTCCAGACGGAGTTGATCCGCTCGCACCGGAGCTGTCCGCCCGCTTGTTGGTTGGAACAGCCTTGTCCCTCGCCTCCCCTGCCTTGGCCCTAGCACCCTTGCCCCTCGCCTCGCCTGTTGTCGCCTGCGACCGGGTCTTGCCGGCGGCTTCCGCGAGGACTGAAGGGAAGGGAGGCGGCGAGGGAGGATGAAGGAACAAGACGGGCATGAGCCCGGGTGGGGAGCGAATCAAATCGTCGACTCGAGCCAAGAATCGAGTAGTCAATTCGACAAAGGTGCTGCGAGGATTCGCAGAGTCGACGGAACGGACCTCGAGACGACTGACAAGCATGACGAGACGAAAGGGACCCTGGGAAGTAACGAGAGAACGCGACTCACTGGCCGTGGCGACGAGCGCAAGCAGCGCGAGAAGCAGGAAGCGCCGCGTGGAAGCCATGACGCAGCGTGGCGTGAAGTCGATGAACGCGAAAGCTCCAAGGTGAGAGCGGAGGGCAGCAAGCAACCGATTGGAGAGCGGAATCTGGGATCGTAGCGTCTCAGATGCTGATTCTAGCCGAAGTCGAAATGTCGACAGATTATATTCGTGAGCGCCGAAGCACGGAACTCAGGGGGAGCAGTAAAAGCTGTCACTAGCCAGTTCGAGTGATTCATGAGAGGATCCATCGCGCCTCTGCGATTTATAGAAGGTTGAATCTGCACGATCGTGATTCGGCGCCGAATCGCCTTGCCAGCGATCAATTTCGAGACGTTCCGTGTCGCGAATGTGAAATGCGGTACGGAAGCCACCGACAGATGAGGAGCCTTAGTCAGTACTACTGACTAGTAATCACTGGCCTTGACGATTGCTAAAATATCACAGATAATACCCAACACAGCTAGCTGACACTAAAACTTTTGGCGGGAAGCGGGAAGGGCGCGGGTGGGATGAGGGAATACTAGCTGCGCTGGATGCGGGAAAGCAGGATTTGACCAGCCCAAGCAGGTGTGTCTTGGGGAGTACGTACGCCTTACGGGAAGTGCTCGTCATAGCGCGATAGAAACTAGTTGAAGACGGAAGTGCTCTAACATATTAATTTGGGAAACCCGATTTCAACTGTTGCTAGCTAAAATGAAGCTCTAGTATGAATTAGAGATACAACCACTGGCCTTTTGAGTACCCTATGTTGTGACAACCCGGGGAACGTTTGGACATGATAAGGGCCTTTGGGTAAGACAGTGGAATTCTTTGAATGACCTTGTCACAGTGAATATGAATGTCATACGTTTCGTTCATATAGACCTAGCTAGCCATGTGCTCCAAGGGGTGCATTCCCTTATTCGTTTTTCCTAGGTAACGATACCGTTGGTATGACTGTTGCGACTCACTGGTCGTGTATTTAGATGCTGATTCTAACCCTAGTCGTAATTTAGACGGAGTATGTTCGAGAAAGTCGAAGCATGGTACTCATGGGGAGTAGTAAAAATCTTCACTAGCCATAACAAGTGGTTTGTTAGAATCAGCTCAGGGTTGATCGCATGTGGCATTGCAGCGGAAGTATTGACCTCATGTCAAAGTGAATGTAAAATGACTAAGATGATTATAATGGATGCACACATAGGTTCATATAGAAAATACTAAGGAATGCAAAACGACCTAGGTTGCCATGTACCCTAAATGACACATTCACTTATTACAACGGAATTCGAAGCCGTGCAGCCCGGAAACCCGTTTTAAACATGTTCCAGCCATTTCCACTTCGTTCGGTCTTGATTTGACGTTTGTTGATATCACTTCGACTCTTCTCGCCACTCGAATTCGTAATCAGTAGAGTCAGTTCCTACCGGGAGCCACGTAGCGATCCAGGAGGCTGAGAGGGTATGCAAGGTAAGGTCGTGTGCACATCATCAGATACATGAGGCAACCCACAAGCTCTAAATACGGACCACTCGGCTCTACGGATCGTCCGAAGGTGGAGCTGAGAGCGAGTGGCCAGTAGGCAGAGGAGTGAGTTGTGGCGAAGAATACTGGAAGCCGAAGCGCTAAAGGACCTGGTGCACCATGTGTGATTGAGTCAGGGTGATGGTGCACCGTGCTCTGTCCCGTGTGATTTGCAAGCCAAGATAGCTCCGCAGCTCACCAAGGCCAGTGCAAGTGTGTCTCTTTTGCAGCTCCGCCTTCACTAGGGCCAGCACCTCGGTGTCAGCAGTAGCAAAAACCAAGTCGTCGACGCACGCGAGAATGTTAAACGGCGGCAGAGAAGTGTCGGTGTGCAGGAACAGCGGTAGGTCACCAGAGGAAGGAGCAAACCCAAGAGCTGTAAGTGCTGTCCTTAGTGTGTCGTGCCACTCGTGGGGCACCTGGCGGGGACCGTAGACTGGCCGCCGGAGGCTCCCCTGGGTACCCGCAGGATATGACCCAATGAAGGTAGGTGGGCGGCGCACCCAGATCTCCTCGTGAAGGGTGCCCTGCAAGAAAGCTGTGGAGAAGTCGAGGGAGTGCAGCTCATAGTCACGCTATGTTGCAAAGCGTTGCAAGACTCGAAGAGTAGTTATCTTAGGGGTGGGGGAGAAGGTATGGAAGAAGTCGACCCACTGTCGCTGACTGAAGCCTCGAGCAACGTAGCTACAGCAGTACCTACAGCACTAGCAGCTCCAGCAAATCCAGCACCTCCAGCAGTACCTACAACACCAGCAGCTCCAGCTTCTAGGAAACTTCAAGCTCCAGCACCAGAGCAGCCTCACTGAACGACCCACTCACGAAGCTGCTGCGGTGAGGACGTCTCGAGTCGACTAGGCGGCTGCTACTGTCCAACGCCAGGACCTGCAATAGGAGCACCCACAACCCCACCACCACTAGGACTCGCACCACCCCCAGAGTCAGCACTCGGGAACCCTCACCCATAGTCTCAGCAACCCTAGTCTCAGCAACCCCAATCTTAGCACCCCCAGAACCCTCACCCCCAATGTCACCACCCCCAGCAGCACTAGTATCCACAGCTACAGGCTACAGAGGCGGCGAAGACAATCGAGGCGGAAAACCAGGAGGAGTCTCGAAGCGTGGAGAGCGGCGAGTGGCCCAGACCCGAAACGCCAACGCATCGCCAACCTTTCCTGTCCAACAGAGTGTCGGCGAGGTCTCTGGCAAAGAGACACGGGGCCAGAGGTTGAGCTAATGCGCGGCGTATCAGACCGCAAATGGCCACAGAAAATGGGGAGCAGCCGCATGGATCATGGAGGTACAAGCAACCTCCATGATCAAGCCAATGCGACGCTCAGCAGTCCCATTTTGCTGCGGAGAGGTCGGAAGCGCGAATGGCTGGATGATGCCCTCGTCTCGACAAACTCCGCAAGGAGGCCGGAAAAGAACTCACCACCCCTGTCAGAGTGCAGACGCGAGACCGGAAGGTCCCGCCGAAACCGCTCGCGTAGCTGGCAACGAGTAGCGTGGATCCAGGGGATCAAAACACCGCTAACGACCGCGTTGCTGTGCAAGGGGAAGACCGTGGTGTAGCGCGTGTAGCTGTCAACGACCTGTAGGAAGTAGCACTCCTGGTCCGTCCCACAGACGGGGGCCGGGAAAAAACACGACCATGTGGAGAGTCTGCATAGGAGCAGTGGTTAGAGAAAACGAGGAGGAGTGAGGAGCGGCGCGGTGCCGCCCCTCGACACATGGAAGGCACGGCGGGGCAGGCGAGCGCGGGAGGGGGGGTAGGGACCTGGGAAGGCCAAAGTCAAGCAGATGGGAGTGCATGCTGCGGAGACGCAGCAGAGAGGGGTGACCGAGTCGGTGGTGCCAGAGAAGAGTCTGGTGGGAGAGTTCCCGACACAAGCACAACGCAGCAAACTTACCGGACGCAGACACCTGACTCGACACAGCCACCTAACCTGGCGCAGCCACCTGTGCAGACGCAGTGGTCAGGGTGTACAGACTAAACCCAGGCTGCCGATTAAACGTAGCAAGCTGTCGTCCTGTTCGGGAGCACGTACAGATCGCCACACGCTGCCCTCCAGGGATAAAGGTATCAACCCAGACATCCTGAAGGACTGCGTTGCTCACCAAGTTTGTCGAGAACGAGGGGGGTGGAGGCCTGAAAGAGAGTTGGAGGGGACTGCCAGACACGGGAGGACAGTGGAGGCTCGCGCTATGTCTGGGCCCCCAGTGGGGTCAGCCAGTGAGACAGGGACAGGTGTTGTGAGTGGTGTGACTGTGGTGCAATCATGAAAAAAGCAACGTGACGCTCCTGCGTCCAGTGTGAAAGTGTGCAAGGCCTCAGCTAAGGCAGTAGACTCACTAGCATCTAGAGAAGCAGCACCAACACTACTAGAGACACGTAGCTGCTATCCAGTACCGCCCGCACACAAGTAATCCCAAGCTCCAGGACCAAAGTGGCCTCACTGAATAATCCACTCACGAAGCTGCTGTGGCGATAGAGTGTCCGGATGAGGCAGTGGCTGCTGCTGTCCACCCCTAGACGTTGTTAAGACCATGATAGTGGCCATGACAGGCTGTGGCAGTTAGTTGACAGCAATAGCGTAGACGGCAGAAGCAGCAGCAGCAGCAGCAACACAGCAGCGAGCCTAAAGGCAGGGCGGCGCGCGGGCCTAAGGGCAGGGCGGCGCGCGGGCCTAAGGGCAGGGCAGCGCAGCGCGCGGGCTGCAGGGCAAAGTGGTGCGCGGGCCTAAGGGCAGGGCAGCTCAGCTCGCGGGCTGCAGGGCAAGGCAACGCGCAGGCCTAAGGGCACGACGGGCTGCAGGGAAGGGCGGGCTGCAGGGGCGAGCGTGGGCTGCTGGGGCGAGCGCGGCAACAGGGGCGAGCGCAGGCTATAGGGGCGAGCACGGCTGCATGGGCGAGCGCGGGCTGAAGGGGCTAGCGCAGGCAGCAGGGGCGAGCGCGGCTGCAGGGGCGAGCGCGGGCTACAGAGGTGAGCGCGGCTGCAGAGGCGAGCGCAAGCTGCAGGGGCGAGCGCGGCTGCAGGGGCGAGCGCAGCTGCGGGTGAGAGCGTGGGCCGCAAAGGCAAGCGTGGGCAGCAAGGGCGAGCGCATGCTGCAGGGGCGAGCGCGGCTGCAGGAGCGAGCGCGGGCTGCAGGGGCAAGCGCAGATGCAGGGGCGAGCGTGGCTGCAGGGGCGAGCGGGGGCTGCAGGGGCGAGCGCAGGCTGCAAGGGCGAGCACAGCTGCAGGGGCGAGTGCGGGCTGCAGGGGCAAGTGTTGAAATATATTTCTTATATAAACTGCTTGTAGCGGTAGTTAGTGTAGTGTTACATTGTTTGGTGGTGCACCTTGCTTGCTTTGCCTATATCCTTGTACCTTCTCTCTTTATTGCACACCTTTTCTCCTTTGCAACTCTCTCGACATTCCTCTTGAACCCCAAAACCTAAGCTACTAAGCTACCATAGCCATGGCTCCTAAGCCTAGCTGTACTTAGTGTTTCTGACATGGAATCAGAGCTGTTATGCTCTTGGCCTGTGGGCCCCACGTGCTTCTGCTGCTTTCCTATCTATCGCGCGCGCGTGACGCTTTATTCTTCCCGCCACGCGCTCGGGGCGCGTGGCGGTTTTCTGCCCGCCGTGCGCCCCGAGGCGCGTGGCGGCTTCCTGCTTCACGTACCACCCCGGGGACCCGCGCGTCCCCCCTCGTCAACGGTCGCGTCGCCCCCCGGGAGCCCGCCGCGTCGCCCGCAACCCCCGTTGCCTCGTCGCGACGCCCCTGCGAAACCCGCGCGGCGTCGCCCCTGCTCGTCGCGGTGCCCCCTGGACGCCGTCCCTGCTCGTCGCGGCGCCTCTGGGGCGCCGCCCCTGCTCGTCGCGGCGCACCCCCCCTGGCCGCTGCCTCTGCCTCACTTGCGCCCGCGCTTGCTTTGCAGCAGCGCGCGGGCCTGCCCTGCACCAGCGACGCCGCCCCTGGAGCAGCCGCCCCTGGCTCCTGTAGCAGCCGCCCCTGTAGCAGCCGCCCCTGCAGCAGCCGCCCCTGGCCCCTCAAGCAGCCGCCACTGCAGCAGTCGCCCCTGGCCCCTGGAGCAGCCGCACTTGCAGCCGCCCCTGGTCCCTGGAGTAGCCGCCCCTGCAGCAGCCGCCCCTGGCCACTGGAGCAGCCGCCAGTGCAGGAGCCGCCCCTGGCCCCTGGAGCAGCCGCCCCTGGAGCAGCCGCCACTGCAGCAGCCGCCCCTGGCCCTTGGAGCAGCCGCCCCTGCAGCAACCGACCCTGCAGCTGCACGCGACGCCGCTCCTGGACCCTGTGCAGCCGTGGGGGGAGGGTATGGGGGTGGCGGGTGTGCGGGTGATGAGTGTGGGTGCTACCTTTCCCCTCCTCCTCCTCCCCCTTCGTCTCCCGCTGCTGCAGCTCCCGCTGAAGGGGGGTGGATGTGTGGGAGCCGAGGGGAGTGGAGCTAAGGGGGTGTCGTGGGAGTGGAGACAGAGTGCAGCAAGGAGGTGTGTGAGAAGGGGGTGTGGGACTATTAGGGGAGGTTGAGCGGAGGTCGCCGTCGTGTCGTCAGCAGTGCCAGTAGTCCGGAGCCCTCGTGCTCTCGGTAGCCCAGCGAGCCTGCTTCGCCAGTCGCCTGTGGGTCCGTTGCTCCTGCCGCTCGTCGTAGCCGCGGAGCCAGATACTCCCGTAGTCCGGTGCCCTCGTGCGCTCGGTAGCCACTGTGTGCGCTGCTCCTGTTGCCCGTGTGACTGCGGGTTCACCTTTCGCCTCCTATCTCCACCCCTGTCACAGTCCCTCCTCCTCCTCACTTCCCCTCTCCTTCTGCTGCGCTTGGTGTACCCCTTCAGGGGGTGTCTTTGCATTGGCTTCCTGCTGCAAGCAGTTTAGGGGGTGTGTTGAAATATATTTCTTATATAAACTGCTTGTAGCGGTAGTTAGTGTAGTGTTACATTGTTTGGTGGTGCACCTTGCTTGCTTTGCCTATATCCTTGTACCTTCTCTCTTTATTGCACACCTTTTCTCCTTTGCAACTCTCTCGACATTCCTCTTGAACCCCAAAACCTAAGCTACTAAGCTACCATAGCCATGGATCCTAAGCCTTGCTGTACTTAGTGTTTCTGAAAGCAAGCGCGGGCTGCAGGAGCAAGTGCGGCTACAGGGGTGAGTGCGGGCAGCAGGGGCGAGCGTAGGCTGCAAGGGCGAGCGCGACTGCAGGGGCGAGCGCGGGTTGCAGGGGCGAGCGCGGGCTGCAGGGGCAAGCGCGGCTGCAGGGGCGAGCGCGGCTGCAGGGGCGAGCGCGGCTGCAGGGGCGAGCGCGGCTGCAGGGGCGAGTGCGAGCTGCAGAGGCGAGCGCGGGCTGCAGGGCAGGGCCGCACGCGGGCCTAAGGGCAGGGCAGGGCAGCACGCCTAAGGGCAGGGCAGCACGCCTAAGGGCAGGGCAGCTCAGCGCGCGGGCTACAGCGCAGGGCTGCGCGCGGGCCTAAGGGCAGGGACGAAAACAAATACGGGCAGGGCAGGGCGGAATGTTTGGTGGGCCCTAGGAATGATCATGCTCTGAAACCATGTTAAAGTAGGAAGACAGGGATGATGAATGACTAGCAACAGGGAGATACAAGTATGAAACCCTAACTGGGGTTGTACCCTAAACTGAGCACTTCACTGTAGCCTAGCAGAACTAAGAACATACATAAATATTTTGATTGGGACCTGACTCGCATGACCACTCCGGCAAGGTTGGAGGAGTGCTTGTACTGCTGACATGGCAGCCGCTTGGTGAGAAAGTCGGCTGCCATCTCAGTGGTGGGCAGTATGTCAGGTCAACCTTGCCGTGTTCAATTTCGTCCTTGACGAGGAAGTATTGAGCGCAATGTGCTTCGTTTGGTTCACGAAGCCATGCTTGCTCGCAATTCTGATAGCACCTTGGTTGTCACTGTGGAGGCAAAATGTTGGCAATGTTGGGATTCTTGCCTCCTGCAAGAGCTCTTGCAGGTAGAGTCCTTCCCAAACTGTAGCGGTCGCGGCGATGTACCCTGCTTCGGCTGACGACAGGGCAACCAACTCCTTTTCGAAATTCCAGGAGATTTGGCCCATTGGCTCGAGGCAGAAGACAAAGCCCATTCGTGACCATCGATTGGCAGGGTCAGCGGCGTGATCTGCGTTCACATTGCCAGTGAGGTTGGAGTATGGTGTTGTCAGCGTGAAGTACGAGAGCCCGATGTGAGGTGTGGAGATGAAGTACTTTAGATGGCGCTCCAGGCAGCTGTTCTTCTGTCATTGGCTTGCGTGCGTACTGTGTCAGCTGGCTCTTGATGTACAAAAGGTCGGGTCGGCAGGTGACAGAGGTGAACAGCAAGTAGCCCAGTTGCTGCAGGTGATGTTGGAGTGCTGCGGGTGAGAGAGGTTTGTTGTCCGCTTTGTAGTTTGTGCTGGGCGAACAGTAAGGGGTTGAGAGTGGTGTGGGTGGAATTTTGAATCGTCCCCCTAGATGTTCTACATATTTGGAGGCTGACAGATGATTGCTTCTGGCGCGTAAATGATGTTGAGTCGTAGGAACTGCATCATGTTGTGGTTGATACTGGTGTCAACGCGTCGCGCAAAGTTTTTCTCAAACTGATCAAGTAGCGCATTGTTAGTTCTGGTGTATAGTAGATCGTTGACGTAGGCTATCACAAGAATGTAGTCGCCGTTGAAGTGGAGGCGGTACATCGCTGGGCCGTGCGGCAACAGCTTAAAGCTGATCTCGAGCAGTATCTTGTGCAGTTGTTACTGCCAGAGTCGCGGCAAATTTTTGATCCCATAGAGGAATTTCTTCATTTGGCAGACCCTTGGGTCTCCTTCCCCGTGGGTGTGCGGTTGCTCCACGAAGATGGTCGCGTTGACTAGTGCGTACAAAAATGCGTTCTTTACGTTGATGTGCCACAGTGATAGGTGCTTTGCAGCATCGATGGTGAGTAGAATCCGCACAGAATTGTGGCGGCTCACAGGGGCGAAGGTATGATCAAAGTCGATCCCGTGGTACTGGTCGTACCCGTGTACGACCCGCCTAGCTTTGAAGCACTCAATAGTTCTATCGGCGGCAAGTTTTAGATGGAAAACTCATTTTCCGGAGAGCATCCTCCTCCCCTTCACTCATGCATGATCAACTAGGACACAGGTGTCTCGCGACTCCAGCGCCTTCAGCTCCGCATCCATGCCTGCATGCCATTCCTTGGCGCGTGGTCTAGTTAGAGCTTGTCGTGGGTTCTTGGGCTCGATGGTGCGCGGAGTGGTGGTCGTTGCGGTGTGTAGGCCGAGTAATTGTAGGCCCGGGACATTCGCGCTATGCCGTTCCACGTAGGTTGTGCAGCCTCACAGCATGATGCATGGCGTAAGGCCAATACTTGATGGGGAGGCCGGACTGCTTTAGCAGAGCATGCTACTTTGTCATGAGAGTGTGGTTGATACGCTCGACGACGCCTTGCTGCTGGTGAGCGTAGGGGAACGAGATGTGGTGCAAGATTCCCTTCACGGTGGGGAAATTTTGCAGCTCGTTGCTGCGGAATTCTGCTGCACCGTCCGTCTGCCATATCTTCAGCTTCTTTCCCAACTGACGCTGCGCATGCGCCAGCCATACATGGAATACTCTGGGTGCCTTCGCACGGGTGTCCACATTCGCTACCCATACGTAACGCGAGTTTGCTTTCACGAAGGTGAGAGTGTAACTCTTTTTATTGAGTCCTCTGTAGCTGACCACGTGGAAGTCGATGAAGACCTTGTGCAGCTTCTTGTAGCGGTTGGTGCTCAACTCCAGCGAGGGGTAAGCATTGTGCAAGAGGGCACCTGTGGGGCAGACGGTGCAGGTTTGAGGTTATGAGGTGTTTCGTGATTCGGAGCCGTTGGGGCGCAGTAAGGCGCCATGAAGGAATACAATTGCTGTGATACAATTGTTGAATGTTTGGCGCGAGGGATGGCCGAGTTGCTGGTGCCAGAGGTTATCACCTGCGCGGACTCCGGAGGTGCGCAGATATTGCGCGCGCAAGCGTGCCTCTTCCTCTGCTTCTTCGGGATTTGCTTGCGCTGTTGCTTCTTCTGCTTCTGCTTCTACTTCTGCTGATAGGGTGGATGTTGCCAGTGCAAGGAAATTGCAGTATGGGATGATGAGGAGTGGTGTGGTGGTGCCTTTTATGAATCCACCTACTGGGTCACGACGAGGAGGAAGGGGTCTGAGGGCATCGCATTTCGGAGTTGCTGGCTCGTTGCCCTAGTCGATAAAGGTACAGAAAGACCGGCCCAGATTGGGAGAGCGAGGTGGTGAAGGCAAGTGTCGTGGATGCCACTCAAGAGGAAATAAAGCCCTGGGTGGAGTTGTTTGTTTCTCGGCTTCAAAGGATTACAAGCAATGGCAAGCGCTATATCATTCTAGGCAAACATGGCATCAACGGGGCAGTCGGAGCCCACAACGGCAATACAAAACCTTCAGAACACACACCCCTAGTCCCTCCCCAACCCCCCCTCCTATCTAAGGCGCCTCGAGTGTTGCGAAACAGTCCCCCGGGTTCACCTCCCCCTCTGGTCCCCCTAGTGGGGGGTTCTCTGCCCTTGTCGCCTGGTTCAGCTTTGTGAGAAAGCTCACCGCCTGGGCTCTATGGAGTGCGACCGACCAGCACTGGCGGAACTGGTGGAGCATCTTCGCAGCCTGGTAGGTGGATGGGTCCGCGTTGAAGATTCTCCGTGCAGCTTTGTCCGCCATCAGCTTCAGGAACGTGGGCACCTCGTCACAGGGGCAGCCGTAGGTCTCTACCGCCAAGGGGAAAAACTCAGCAAACTCAGCCCTACCGTGGTAGAGGTATATCTTCTTGTCTGCTGCCTCCAGTGCTGCCCAACCCCTCCCCTTCCTTGCTGTCTCATCCCGCTTACTGATGGGGTCTGTTATGGTAATGTCCGCCAGCCATACCGCTCCCGAACTCCCATCCCTGAAGGCCAAGTCGGCCTTCTTGTTGTCTACGGGGCTAAAGGCCGTGCACTCCTTGTGCACGGCAAATCCTGCATCCTGTGCCATGCGGATGCACTCGTCGCGCAGCTCGTTGTGAGTGTTGGTCCGACCGTGCCCCGTACCGCACCTAAGCAAGTGGTTTGGCAGCCTCTTATCCAGGATGGGGACCCGTTTGGTGCAGTCACAACAGTCAGGCACGGACAGTGGCAGGCCGAGCCTAAACTGGAGGGCGAACTTGAAGTGGCAGGGGTAGAGGCGTAGGGAAGGCATGTAGGGGATCGCCAAGAGCCAGTCCCCTGCCCCATAGCCTGTGAGGGACATGAGGCGCTGGGTGTGGCCTAGCCGTGGGTTCAGCTCCATCTGTCTAGACGCGGCAATCTGGGCGG